ACACACACACACACACACACAACAGCAAAGTAAACCAGAGTACCTGTTCACGTTCAAACACTCATTTATCACAAACATTTCTTCATTTACTCACTGACAAAAGTGAGTAAATGAAGAATTACGGCTTAGTTGTATTTTAATAATTCACCACATTTTCCCAGTGTTTCTCTCAACGGCTGCAGGAGCCTGACATTTTTTATTTTTAGAGCTGAAAGTAAAAAAAACATCCATCTGTTTTTTGTTTTTTTTTTGTTCCCAACTGCAACAGGATTTTGAATCGTCTCGGAGAAACAGCAGCAGCCTGCAGTTTCCTCCCTGAAGCATATTCTCATGCTGCTCTGGGTGAAAATGGGATTTCTTGTCGAGACGGGCGGGTGACGCTACAGCGAGAGACCGAAGTGCATCGTTATCTAGTGACGAATCTTTGCTTCAGGTCAGCGAAAATACCATGTTCAAGGTTTCATGATATTTGAAACGAACACGTCTTAAAAATCTAAATCAGGAAATGGAATATTTCACACCCCAAAAAAGTAAGACACCATAAATTCACCGTAATAACTTGGAGGAATCAGGATCTTTTTTTCCTCGCTGGTCTCATTGTTTAAAAAAACGTGAGCATGTCGTCTCTATTCCTGAGCTCTCACTCTGTTTCCTCGTGTCACTGGTTGAGATCTGAGAACGCTGACGCACCTTTAAAGTTCTCATATTATTCAAAATAGACTTTTTCAAACCCAGCGGATTTTTTCTGTTTTTGATGGAAAAGTGTGAACGTGAATCATTTTACGTTCGACAGCACGACACTGGAATCACTTCAGGGGATTTTTAAACACAAAGAATTTACTGTTGATAAGGATGAGGTTTGATATTCTGCTGCACTGAAGGTATGAAACACTTTGTAAACACACAAACACACAAAACAACAACACACACGTCCTGTCTGAGGCCTGACCGACCTTATTCTCCGTCTCCTTGTTGTCGAGCTGAGGACGGACACAACAGGACGACAACACGTGGTTCATTCAGAGCATTTTTATACGAGACACATTAAAATCTCATCCACTTTCATGACTTATTGATCGCCCCCTGGTGGCCGGCTGCAGCATAGGTCATAAATCCTGGCAAATGTAGTGGAGTAAAAAAAAAAAAATTTTCTGTCTGAGTTATCGTGGAGTAGAGGTAGATTACAGACTAATGTCAATACTAGAGCACAAATACCTCAAATGTACGTGTACAGCACTGTGCGGTTACCATCCGACCCGACGTTCCGCCACTAATAATCCATTCACCAAGAAAACACGACGACGCAGCAGAATGAATATAGATGAATATCATTTCACATCGAATCTGCAACGTGCAGTCGCATAAATCATCAATTAACACGAGGCTCTGCTGCAAAAACCAAACCTGAGAATAATTCTCCCCAAAACACAATATCTGATTCCACTTTATATTTCAAGCTACGATGCAGCAGCAGCATCAATTAACCACGAAATAAGTTAACAGCCTGAACTTCTTCATGCACGTGAACGAAACTGGAGCAGACGATTTCACAGAACGACGTTTTTCTCTGTATTTTTCAGCAGATGCACAGAAATCGTTCCCTCAGACACGAAACATCCTCATTTAAAAGCTCCAGTGTTTATCGTCTCTCTCACATCCATTAACATCTGTTAACTGCAGTCGTTGAGCAGCGGAGCCAAGAATTTATCTTTCCTCACCTCTGCTCCTCTCCCACACATCAGAGACCCCCCCCCACAGTCCGCTGACACACAGTCGCCATTTAGTTGCAGCTAAATGCAAGAATTTTATACGAGATGAAATTCAATTATCTGGCAGCCCACTGTGGAGTCTATTAAACGCTCGGTCTCCGAGCTCCAGCTGTAAATGTGTTCAGAGCTCTGCTAACAGACGGTGCCGGAGGCTTTCTAACATCGGGTCTGAGCCGGGATTCATTAACGCAGGAGGAAGCAGACGAGGAGTTCAAACACATCACGGTCACTTGATGATATGTAAAAAAAAAAAAAAACTCTATGTTGAAACAACCAAAGCTTTGCATGTTCAAATCCCCGTCTCAGGTCTGAAGGTCCTCACGAGAAACATACGATATGTGTGACTTTGGCCACTAGGGGTCTCTGTCTAAACAACTAAGACCTAGTTCGATGACATCCTGAAGCAGCTAAGGATCATGGGAATTATTATCTTCGCCACCACCCGTCGCCGCCCGTTATCCTCAACCCAACGTTCAGAACTGGAAATATTCGTTTTGTGTTTAAGTGATCGATTGTTTAAATGTTTAAGACAAGTTTACTTTATTGATCCACGATGAGTTTCTTAAATCATCATATTTATTTGTTATGATGTTTCATGATTCAATATAATTATTATAATTATTATTATTGTATGATTCTATAATTCAGACTTTAATTAGATATTAGCTAAGAGCTGTTCTTTCTCGCTTCCTTACAAATACTGAGATTAGTTGTTTTCCTTGTTTCTCTCTTACCTCAGATCCTTCAGAGTCTGAGCAGCCAGACTGAGTTTGAAACGGACAAAACAATAAGAAGAGAAAAAGAAGAGAATGTGACATAAAGGACACGAGACATTCGAGGAAGTAATAAAGACTGAAAGCTCAGGGGCTGTGACCTGGAATCCTTCTCTCACCTTGGATTCCTCCGACTGGCGGCCGTGAAAGAATATCCCACAGCCCCCGAAAGAAAGGACAGTTATTATAATAAAACATAAAGACAGTATGAATTTTAAATGGAAATAAAAGTGGTTTCCAGTCTTTTCTGCTGCTGATGCACTTTACCCACCATATCATCCTCCCCTTCATTGTCAGAGACGGCCTGATGGAGGTGAGGCAAGGGGAGAAAATCAAATTATACTAAATATAATAAAACTAAAAACAGGAGAAGAGTCGTTCTCAGATCAAGCTGTTGTCCAGTAAAACCATGAACTATGTTAATAATATGATTTGTTGTGAACTTCTGATATAAACTAAAACTGACTCCACATGAAAGTTAATGTAGATTAAATGAATAACTTATTAAGAAGCGTGATGCATCATGACACCAAATCTACGTCCAGTGAATTAATTTTTAATTATTTAATCTGGAAATTTATACTTTGACAGTCATTGGAAGGAACCACTGTACATGTCTGTGTACGTACTTCTGTGTATTTTATTATTGGGTTGTTCATTTTTAAGCTCAGCCTCTTAAATACAATAAAGAAAATTAAACTACAAACTTCACAAAGAGGAGTTCACCACGTTATCAATCAAGATTCATGACTCAAGACCAAAATGTTAAAACAGGATAAAAATATAAAATCTATGTAAAAAGTACGAGATCGTGTCTCAGCCCGAATATCTCACGTGTACACCAAAATATGTTCCGACAGGGAAACTGTAATCCCAGAACTACAAGATCCATCTGGGATTAATGTCAGAAAATATAAAAATATATAATTAGTCACTTCATACAAATCTAACCCTGAGGTTGTGACAGAGAAACACGTCGACCCACCTCCTCATCGCACTCCTCGGGTTCCTCCTCATTCTCCAACTTTCAGAAAGAAAAGTAAAAACAGTATTTCTGACATGAAGGTGACATCAGGTGAGGAAGAGGAGGAGGAGGAGCGAGGAAGAGGAGGAGAGAGGATTCTATTTGATATCTCACTTACGAGTAAATTGGGATCAACCTAAAAATACACACAGCTCTACTGAGTACAAGAGGTTTGACAGCAGGAGGAGGTTCAGGGAGAAGTTGTTTATTTGGAATGTTTGTGTCGAAGGAGCGACAGGGAGCAAATACAGAAATGAACCTTGACATACCCGCTCCTCCTCAGCAGTAAACTGTGGAGACACACACACACAGACACACACACACACACACAACACAGACACACACTCAATCTCACATTAAAAAATTAATTCAAAGCTGCACAGACTTTTTTATTCCGAACATCTGCTGCACGTCTTCAAAAAGTTTTTTCTCTACAAGTGAAAAAAGTCAAGTGAATAAAGAAACGTCTCTCTGACTCTAATTTCCTGTTCATATCGTTGACCTGCGACAAAAAGTCCTTTAAAATCTGAAACCACACGAATAAGTTACGAATCACTTGTGTTCAACTTTTAAGATTAAGATTTTTCCACAGAGGGTTTTGGTTCAAATCCCAGTTCTTCCTTCTTCCGTGTGGAGTTTGCATGTTCTTCCCGTGTCTGTGCGTGTTCTCCTCTGACTCTGAGGAACTTTTCTCTCGGTCCGAGTCAAAGTTCAAGTTTTTTCATTTGTTAGTTTTGGTTTCACGCTGTAATTTACGGCTCGGGGACGGTGAAGCGACACCACGTACTGAACATGGACATGTATGTTCTGAGACATGTCTCCTGTGTGAGTGTTTCCAGTTCGTGATATTCTCCATTGAAAAATACACGTAGTAATTATTACTTTAGTCTCTTTAGCTCTAACACCAACACTTGAAGACTTATGTTAAAAATATAATATTATATACAGTATATAAAACTAAATTCAAGCCTTTAAATAATAAGCGAGTGACTCAGACTGTTTCATCAAGATAAATGTGCATGGTCACACAATAGATTAAACGTTGGATTGTTTTGGTGATGACTTGTTCTCACGCACCGACACGCAAAACAATCACAAAGTTTTCATTTCACCAGAAACACAGAGAATTACGTCATCAGGGAAAAACCTCTGAGCAGGAACTTGAACACTTGCCGTCACTGGACAAGCGTCACGTGTGTCCGTCCGTGTTTCACTCACCTGCTTCGCTCCCATCGACTCAAACATCTTCTCCAGGAGGACCCTCATCTGCTGGATGTTGTTCATCAGCACGCACGGCTGCAGGAGGCGGGGCGACGGAGACGACAGGTGCAAGTGGGCGGGGGAAAAAAAAACCAAACAAAGTCAAAAACAAAAGAAAGTGTGAGCGAACAAAAGAGAAGTTAAAGAGTTGGTGAAGCAGCAGAAGCTAAAATGAGATGAAGATCCACTGAGATGAGGTGTGAGGATGTCTGGAGACGTTACTCACGATCTTCTCCTTCTCGCAGTAGGAGGGGAAGCTCTTGGACAGCAGGGCGCTGTACTGCAGCAGCACTCTGGTGATCGTCTGCGGAAGAAAACACAAAACAAACACTCAGCACATCTGGAGAAATGAATCTGAACCCTGGAGTTTCCTCCATCAGGTGGAAACCAGCTCCGTTTGAACACTTACATCAAACTTTCGAACAAACCGGTGAGTTAAAGGATCGTCTGTGAAAAAGAAGTTTCTGTTCCCCTCCCTTCTTTCTGCTCGCTCAGCCAGACGGCGCTCTAACGCTCGCGCTGCAGGAACCTCGACTCCTTCACATCTTTACTCTCATGTCACACTTTTACAAAAATGAACCGTTTACTGTTCTGGTGAATAGAAGAGAGAGAAAATGGATAAGTCGGAGAAACGACCGGACGACAAAGAAGATGGAGACTGTGAATAAAGAAATGATCGGATGGAGAAGTTCATGGAGGAAAGAGGTGGCAGCTCCGACTGGGACGAGATGAAAAGGCCGAGGGAGATTAACATGGAAGAGAAAATGGAGTCACGGGTTGGTGACGTGGAGTCTGACGGCTGAGAGCGATGGCTTACATTAGCTATTCTTTATTTAATGAGTCCCTTATTGATCGAGCCATCGCACCACAAACAACACACACACACACACACACACACACACACAATTCTTCTGCAGAGAAAGGTTTGTTAGATTTAATGACTTCTCCTAAAAGCAACTGGCTTCAATTACGTTTGAAGAGATAAATATATAAAATCTGAGGCTCAGCTACGACAATAAAACATCACACTGAATATTGTGTTTGTGTCGTTTACCTGACGACCAGAGGTCAGTGTCTCAGAGGAACGAAGAATTCTGAGACGGTCACACTCGCGAATTAGAACATTCTGTTTATAAATCGACGATTAAACAGAACTTATTCTAAAGAGACGAGAGTTTTGAAATGTGTTTATAATCAGTAAATGATGTGACTACAGGTAACCTTGGTTTAAACAAGGATTTCCTGTCGCGTGTCTCACCTTGGCGAAGCGTCTGTTGTAGTGAGCGACCACGGTCGGGTCGGGACAGTCCAGTTTCCTGATGATCTCAAAGCTCTGGTTGAGCTGAGTGAAGATGTCGACCACGGAGCTGGAGAACAGAGCGTGTTCAGACGTCTGCTGGAACTGCAGGAGGACGGAACAACACATTTCTGTATTTAGGAGCAGAACTGACGTTTCTTTAAGTCGTCCCTGACTCAGGCCTCCGCTCCCTCTCTCCCCCGCTCCTTCTCTCCCCCGCTCCTTCTCTCCTTCCCTTGTATTCAAATACAAACTCTTATTTCAAGCTGCTGCACTCATCACAGATCTCAGATCTGCTTTGACAGTCTCCGGACGAGAAAGTGCAGCTTGGGGACGATCACGAGGGCGAGAGACAACACGTCCATCGTTCTGTTAACGTCTGTCCGAAAGCAGAACTCTGCTGCACCTGAGTGAAATGAAGCATCCTGCAGAGAAAAGGTCATGGGACTGAAGCTGTCTCTCACTCCGGGGTGGATGAAACTCCTCTCTCCTCTCTCAGGTTGTTTTTTAGTCGAGGGAGCAAAATATAACAGCTGGAAACCGTCAGACAGTCGATGTCATACGATGCTGGATTTGGTTCTGATCAGTTTTTATATAAAAATAAACCAGATTATCAGTTTTTAATCAAACAGATTCATTGAATTTTACATTTGTTTACTGATATTTTCCAGACGTCAGTGACCTTCCATTGTTCTAACATCCCCTCAGACGTCTGTGCGTTTAAATAAAACAAATTAAAAAAGATTTGTTTGCTGATCACAAACAAAAAAAAAACATTTCAGCTTCGATAATTGAGAAGACGACAAATTGTTCCTGTTTAACTTAATTCAATTCTGCTGCAGAAAAATCTCTGTCCTCGGGAAACAAGATTCACCTGTAAAAAAATAACGTCAACAAGTTTTACAAAACCTTCTGAGCTGCGGCCGACCGACTGCATATTCAGTGAGATTCACACTGAAAATATTATTTATGGACTCACGTCGACTGCAGATGAACTTAAAATAAACATTGTTCATTACTCCAGGTTCTCACCTGTACGCACGGATACACAGAAACCAGGGACAGCTAACAGCTAACGCTTCATAGTTTGAACTTTAGTGTCTAAATAAATATAGGCTGCAAAAAATGAGACCCAAGTTACAACATATTAAAAAACATGAGAGGAACTTTAGATCTTGAATCTGTTTGTTATTATTGTGTCTCTGCCTGATAACTGCTGCCGGGGACAGTTTCGCGTGCTTTGGTTGCTCATAAGGAATCACAGGTAAGTGACATTCTGTCGTGCAGCAGTCTTTCCTTTCAGCCCTCCTCGTCCTCGCCTCCTCGACTCACCCCCTCTCTCTTGTCCCGCTCCAGCGCTCCGTGCATGAACTCCATGGACACCTCCTCGTTCTCAGCCAGCCAGGCCAGGACGAACTGCAGGAACCAGCTGGAACAACGATCAGACAAAGTGTCACTAACCCGCGGTGTGATGAACAGAGACGCTGATACACTAGAAACACATTTTAATAATACTAGTGTTTAGTTCTGAAGAGTAAAAATTATGTCTAATTTAATTATCTTTTTTTAATTGACTGATTTCACGAGTCTCATTGTTGCTGCTGTTTGAAATATTTTAACTTTATCTAAGTCAAATATATCAAGTATTATCATAACTCTATTACCGGTAATAATTAGTATAATGTACATACCGGGCGTGTTGTGATATGTGTGTGTGTGTGTGTGTGTGTGTGTGTGTCTTACGCTGGGTACTCAGGCACAGCGTCTGCGAAGGCCGGCAGGTCCTGAAGGTACTCGTTGTACAACCACTTGACCTTGAAGTGCAGGTTCATGTAGTCGGCCGTCTTACACAGCCTATGTTTCTCGTGTTCTGTAAAAATGAGGAACACACACGTGCACAAAGACGCACAAGTTCACCCAACACTTGACTTCCTGTCATAGTGGACGACCCAACCCACACTGTGACCTCACAAACACGAATACAACCAAGTACATAGAACTTTAGATTAAGACAATAAACACATCTGTTAATATAAAACATAAACGATCATATTTTCTGCTGTAAAATAAGTTTTCATATCCACACACACACACGCACACACACACACACACACACGCGCAGTCTTACCAGCGTAGAAATCAACTCTGCGGATGCGAAACGTGTTGGGGGCTGAGGTGGCGACAGATTTATGACAGAAACCAATAAGATGTCAGAGACAACAAGGAAGCAGGTGAGACAAAGTGATGGCAGAAGATGAAAAAGAAAATAGTGCTACACACAAGTCTGGAGGAGGAGGAGGAGGAGGAGGACAGACAACTGGACACAGAGACAACAGTCCACAGACAAGTGTCCCCCTTTTTCACATTTTACCCAATTTCCCAGGAAAAACTAAAAAAATAGATCTCGATGACAAAGACACATTTGGACTGTTGGGTCTCAGTCTCAGGGGACTGTTGGGTCTCAGTCTCTGTCTCAGTGGACTGTTGGGTCTCAGTCCCAGTGGACTGTTGGGTCTCTGTCTCAGTGGACTGTTGGGTCTCAGTCTCAGTGGACTGTTGGGTCTCTGTCTCAGGGGACTGTTGGGTCTCAGTGGAGACAAGTGCTCTGATAATGAACCGGCTAAATAACCCTGTGTCTCCAGGTTGAGTCTCAGATGTCACACTACAGCTCTAACTCTCTAACTCTGTTCTGGACGGCGGAGAGAGCTCAGCTCACTGCAAACTAAGAAAACACGTGGGACCTAAAGAAGTGATGTGTTGTGATGTTTTGCAGCGCGTGTCCTCAGAGTGATGAAGTTGTTTTCTCAATCTGCAGTGAGTCGATCTCTCTCTCTCTCTCTCTCTCTCTCTCAAACTACACGTCTGAGACCCAACACAGAGAAACAGCAGCAGCCCCGTCTCCTCTGACTGTGTCTGTGTATCAGCTACGATCCGTCTCACCGTTGTTCCAGCGATAGTGATCGATTTGATGCAAAACTGAGGGAGAGTTGATGGATGGAAGAAAAGAAAGAGTGAATGCAAAGGGCAGGAAAATGTACATTTACTCTCTCTCTCTATCTCACACACACACACACACACACACAGTCTTACCCTCCAGGGCGTATTTCATGTCCTGAGCGAACAGCGTCCACATGACCTCAGCGCTGACTTTACCAACATTGAGTTCCTGAGGAAACCTGAAGAAAGAGAGAAGTTCCTCTGCTCGTCTGTACGTTCAGATTCATTTATAAACAGTCTACGGTTCATGCTCTGCCTGATACTGAACTCATCATGTGACACTTTGTGAGATCAGAGGCAGAACAACACAAACACGTCATGTCGTTGTTTCTCTTGAGCAGATTTGAAGTTTGTAAACTGTGTAGAAAGAAAATAGACGAGAAGCGAAACTGACTGGTTGATGATGGGCGTGTACGAGTTCTTGTCTTCCTCGATGATGGAGACGATGAGCGTGATGAGTTTGGGCCAGAAGTCCAGATTCTGAATACTTGGGCCCTGCTCCTCCGGCTGATTCTCCTCCTTCTTCTCCTCCTCCTCTTCCTCCTCCTCCTCTTCTTCTTCCTCCTCCTCCTCATCCTCCTCTCCCTCTTCTCCTTCAGCTTTTTCCTTCTTCTTCTTCTTCTCCTTCTTCTTCTTCTCTGGCTCGGGCTGCACGAGGATCAACAGCAGTGACGTTATTACAAGAGGAAGCTTTGAATTTTTTTTTGCAGAGAGAAATTCATCAGTTCACGTGAGACAGCGCTTCCTGTTCGGAGACTCACCGGTGGGACGGCGGACTGGAACTGGCGGTTGAAGAGCTCCAGACAGTTGTTGAAGATGTACTCGTAGGTGGAGTTCAGACAGGCCTTGACACAGTCCCGCACCACGTTGGCAGCTCGGGGAGGACTCTGCAGCTCCAGCACCTGGAGACGAGCCGGAGGAAACACAGGTCTCATAAAAACTCAACGAAACTGTCATGAACGTGGAAAATCTGGAGGTTGTAACAATTATGATGTTCAGAAAAACAAAACCTTTTTCTTTTCCTCGAGTGAAGGGTCATTTCTCCCTTTGTGTAAACATTTGGGGGAATGATTCCTCCCTGATATTTTTATATTTTTCACATTAATTCACAAGATCTGAATTTTCAGTGGATCTGCACAAACTCGAATCCGTTGCCTAAACATGTCTGATTTTTCAATTATTCTCTGAGAAACCAATGAAAAGGTTTTTTTATCCAAACTGAACGTCTACTCTGCAAACATGAATCTGTCGACTCGTCCTCTGTCTTCCAAAGTGGATTTCATCTTCCCATAAAAGACCTGAGGTGGAGAATACGAGCTCACACTGAAGCTTCTTCTCCACTGGTCTAAAAACCCCCCAACAGCTTTTGTCTGCAGTGTGAATGGATCCAATCATCATTCACTCCTGGATCTAATGACTCTGCAGGAGACGCAGGTTTTTATCGTCTCCGGCTGCGAAGGCGACGAGAGAACGCTCCGATGTGGCAGGACGGCGAGATGAGAGATGACAGAGCGCTTCGGTGACATTGAAAACGACGCACCGGGAAAAATAAAAAGTCAAACTCTACTGGCAATGAGAAAAGAGTCACACAGATGATTGTAGCAGGTTTACTCAAGTTTAATAATCCAGGTCGCAGTGACATCATTCAGTCTCTACCTTCATTCTGAAGAACGTGATGCTGGTGAGAAGATCCACTGTTGACTTGAGGTCGTGGAGGCGAGGCTTGCTGCTGGCTGGGAAGTTATTCTGCACACACAGACACACACAGACACACACAGACACACACACCATTAATGAAAGTCCCTCCTTTCTGGACTGAGGTCTTCTAGGGTCATTGGTTCTTCTCCAGCGTCTGTTTTCAATCTGGGCTGTTTGTCGTTTTAATCCTCATCACGTCGAGCTTCCACTTGACTAAAGCTTTTAATTTATCACTGCATAACTAATTACAAGCAAACAGTCATAGTCAATGCAGAGGAAAGAAATAAATAAACGGGAAGAGACGGGAAAAATAAAACGTCTGAGCAGCCGAGAAGTTTAACATTCAGACCATGTCCGAGGAAATAAATCACAGGACGAGCAGAAGAAGGTAAAAGAGAAATGTTTGGGATGATGATGGTTCATCGCTTTCATAAAGCTACGTGTGTGTGTGTGTGTGTGTGTGTGTGTGTGTG